GGGGGGGGGGCTTTGGACACGGGGTCTAGCCCATTTTGAATGAATCCACCAGTGTTTGCAGTTGATTACAAATGAGGCCCATCTTTTGGGGGAAGGTTGTCGCTCGACATAACAAATATACATCAAATATAGTGCATTACATTGTGGGATTTGGAAGAATCAGTGTTGACATATTCATTTGGTCGGCAAAACTATAGTCGACAAGCAATGTAGATTGTAAGGGATATAGTTGGATGACAATGGTCGAAAGGGCCGCAGTTGGGTGACGGAGGTCAGAAATGCTGTAGTCGAGCGACGATGATCGGAAACACCGTAGTTGGGGGCAACGATAGTCGGAAAGGCCATAACCTAATGACGGTTGTCAAAAGAACCATAGTTGACGGACAACGGATGTCATAAAGACTGTAGTTGGGCTACAGTAGTTGGAAAGATCGTAATTAGTGCATGATGGAGGCCATAAAAATAGTAGTTGGAGGGAAACAAAGGTCAGAAAGATTATAGTTGAGTGACGATGGACTGAAGGACCATAATCCATGAACGATGGTGGTTGGAAAGATCATAGTGAGCAATGGTGGTCGGAAGGATCATAGTTGGCGGACGACAGAGGTCAAAAAGACTATAGTTGGAAGGGCCGGTGTTCTGCAACAATCGGTGGTCGAGCGTAATTCCGACAACGGTAGGTGGTCGGGTGGAAGTCCCATGAGAGCCAGACAACAATCGATGGTCGGGCGGTGGTTGAAGAGGATGATATTGAATTTAATTTCGAACAGAACAACCGTCTTTAGGCTATCTTGATGAGAAGAGCGATCTCATATTTCTCTTTCTTTCCTCTCTTCTTTCTCTTCCTTTCCCCCCTCTCTTCCTCCTTGCTTTGATCCCTTTTCATATGAAGAATGAGGGGCTATTTATGATTTTTTAGGATTGACATGGTCAATAAATAGGGAGAAGATCAAGGACAAGTTCGGAATATTTTCAATAGATGTTTGATATCAACTTCCTTGATAATAAATCGTTTATCGAGTATTTGGTTATCTTGATGATGTCAAAATTCAGCTATCTTTGGATCATTGGATTCATCTAGTCAAGCCACTAGATTCGATTATAGGCATGCCACATTTGGTGATCATTCAATCATCCAATTTATGATTTCAACTTTCTAAATACGCTTCGGGTTCTTGATTTGGACCCATTTGGACTAGGATTGACTCAATTTTAATGTTGTTGGGTTAGTCTTTTTGAGACATTCAATTCAACTATAAATTTGTTGAAATCAGAGTTCGGATGGTCCCGAATTTTATTTCAGCGATTCCCAACTCAAATTTGTCTCAAAATTCTTGCCCCATCAAGATAAATTATTTATGATATATCAACTAGTACTAGCCATTAAAATATTGTGACTAGATTACGAAGAGCAAGTCATTAGGTACACCATAATCACGACCGTTAAATTTTAATGGATTATTTTAAAATTAGAAAAGAGAATACCCCTCGACAGGTATCTCTTTCAGGAAAAGAAGTGTAGGATAGGCCTGAATCAACAAGGGAGAAAAAGATAACAGAAAAAATAATAATAATAATATATCAAAATATTTTAAATATAAATTATATAAAAAAATCTTAAAAATTAAAAAACAAATATGATAAATGTATTTACATTTAAATTTATTTATGTTCCATATTAGAAAATTGTGTTAATAGAACATAAGTTTTATGTTTTAGCTTAAAAAATATAAAAAATATATGTTGGTAGAACAATTTACATTTAAAATTATTTATTTCCTTTTTCACTTTTGAAAAAAGATGAGATTATTTATAATTGAAAATAATAATTGGAGTTTTCTTTTAGGAATTATAGAAATCTAATATTTATTAGCGGACAATTAAAACCCACCAAAAGAGTTAAGCATTGACAAAATTCTGGGGATTATGATGGTAATTGCTGGTGATGGTTATCTGTTGTGATAGACAGAAAAATATAAGAAATTTTTTTGGTTCCCTCAGCTCTTGAACATCTTATTGTATGCAAAATGAAGTTATATTTTTATGCTTTTGAGATAGGAAGTGGAAGTCATTTGATTTAAAAAATAAAATTTAGAACTTCGAAATGTAATTTAATTATTTGATTTGAGCTCAATTGAAATCAGAGAAGATCAATTATAGTGCTAATAATTTCATCTCATCGAGATGTTCGTTTCGATTATAAGCTGAAATTAGAGTTCGGATTATATTGAATTTAATTTCGAAAATTTCTGGTTCAAATATATAGATACGTCATTGCAAACAAATTCTTTGTTATCTAATATTTTTATTTTAAGTCAGAAAATTAATATCAAATATTAGTTTATTTTAACCATATAAATTGTGCTTAAAATAACAATATTCACTACACAAATAAAATCCTAAAAATAGTCCTCGCATATTAATGTGTTGTAAGACACTACAAAAAATACATTTTATATGCATATTTACTTTGGGAATATAACATTATTACACTTAAAAATTAAAATAGTAATTTTTATAAATAAAATCCATTAAATAAATTTATTTGATAAAATAAATATTTATTAAAAAAAAAATAAAACCCAAAAGCTTTACATTGCATCAACTTTCCCGACAGCAAATTGTTATTTACATTGATGGCGAGTGGAACTAATGAGAAAATTATAAAAAAAATAATAATAATTCCCCCCAAAAAATCCCAATAGCTGCACTGAATATTCACTAGCAATAATGTATCTTCAATTGAATAGGTTCGAAAAAAAAAAGGAAAGAAAAAACAATAGAAAAGGAAGCGGGCAATGAAATGTCGCCGGAGTTGAATGTACAGAGAGAAAAAAAACCAGATAACCGGGAACCACTTCACTCCAGACTCAAAATTCTACCGGCGGCGGCGAAGAAGATATGAGGTCGCAGAAAGCCCGATCGGACTCCGACTGGTCCCGACCGGCCACGAATGGGTGAGCAAGAAGCTGCTCAACTGACCAGCGCTTACTCGATTCCTTCTGTAGACATCGTGATATGAAGTCCCGGAAGTCGCCGGAGACTGTCTCCGGCATCTTCGGCGGCTCGCCGAAGCAGATCGCACACATGAGCGTTGCCCAATCAGGGCGTTGGCCGGGAGGAAGCAGAGGAAAGTGGCCGAGGTGGAGCTCGAGCACGGTGAGCCCCAGGCTCCATACGTCGGCAGCATAGGCGTCGTAGTTTCCACCATAGGAATCCGGATCGAACCTCTCCGGGCTCATATAGGCAGAGGTGCCAACATATGAGAGACAGGGGTCGAGGGATCGGCGAATGATCTTGCTAACCCCGAAGTCGGCGATCTTGATCTCCCCGGCGGCGTTGACGAGGAGGTTCCCAGGCTTGATATCGCGGTGGACGATATGGTGAGAATGGAGGTACGAGAGACCAAGGAGCACCTGGCGGGAGATAGCGGCCAGCGCTGCTTCTGGAAAAGGGCGTCGGCTGCGAGCAGCAAGAATAGATTCGAGCGATCCAGCGTCCATGTACTCAAGGAGGAGGGCGATGTCGCCGGAAGGAGTGGAGAAAACGTCATGGCAGCAGACGACGGTGGGGGAATCTGTGAATCGAAGGATGTCGACCTCGCGGGAAACCTGGCGGTGGCGGATGGAATCACCGACCGAGAGTGACTTGAGAGCATAGAGGACGCCAGTGAGGCGGTGGCGTACCTGGTAGACAGTGCCACCATTTCCATGGCCGAGGATCTTAATCTTGTCTAAATCGGATAGGCGGAGATCGGTAAGGAAGGCCGGCGGGAGAGGAGCTAAGGTTAAGTGCGGGCAGCAGTCAGCGGCGGTGGTACAGTTAGTGATAGGCAGCTCGAGGGTTAGGGTTTTGTTTGGGAGTCTTCGCTCTCGGATTACTGCCATTACTTTTTGTTCTGTGTGATTTGGAATGATTTGTGGGTAGATGGGAAGCTTATTTATAAGTTCATCCAAGTAGGGTATCGGAGTAGAAGATTCAAAGGATGTGGTCACCAAAGGTGAGATTTGTATACCATGTTTTATTCCATCCCGGATGGATGTAAAGGGAGGAAAAATCAGGAAGGTAAGGCTAATAGATTCCTGAATGCAGGAGACGGTCGGGATGACGCCAGCCGGGCGGCAGACGATAAGGGAAGCAAGGAAGAAGGAAGGTGTGGTGAGTTTTCGATTAAATTTAATTCTCATGTCAGCGTACATTATATATATATATTAACATAATTAATTAAGAGTTTATTCTTAGGTTGTAAGTTAAGCAGTATAGTGCTACTGCTCAGCAGTATATATATATATACTATTAAAAATTTAATATTATGTTAAATTTTTTAAAAAAATTTAAGTGTGGTTTAATTTCAAATAATTACTTATTGTGCTAAATTTAAATATACTTAAAATTAATTTTATATAAATTATTATGATTCCCCTGCTCAATATGTTTGTTGCGTCCAGGAGTATTCGCGGCGGTAGAGAAATATAAAGTTTATTGTCTTAGCGTTGTACGAAAATCCGGCACGCAATCAAAAAAGAGAGAGAGTCTAGCATTTATGAGACACCAAGATTTTTACTTGGAAAACCCCTGAAAAGAGGGAAAAACCACGGGGCCTAGCCCAGTTTGAACAAATCCACTAGTATTTGCAGTCGATTACAAATGAGGCCCTTCCTTGGGAGAAGGCCTTCGCTTGATGTACATCTTATAGAGTACATTACATGATGTAAATACAAAGAGTCACTATTGATATGTTCGTTTGGTCGGCAGGGCCATAATCAGCAGGAGACCTGGGGTCTGGACGACCGTTGTCTGGTGATGTAGGTTGGAAGGACCGTAGTAGACGATGGAGGTCAGAAGGACCGTAATCGGTGGGCACAAAGGTCATAAAGACCGTTATCTTACGAAGGAGGTCAGAAAGACTATAGTCTGCAGGCGACGTAAGTCAGGAGGACCGTAGTCGGCGGGCGACAGAGATCAGAAATACTGTAGTCGATGTGTAACGTAAGTTAGGAGAACTATAGTCGGCGGGCGATAGAGGTCGGAAAGACTGTAGTCGGTGGGCGACTTAAGTCGGAAGGGCCGTAGTCGACAGGCGACATAAGTCAAGAGGACCGTAGTCGGCTGGCGACAGAGGTCAGAAGGACAGTTGCCTTGCGACGGAGGCTGGAAGGACTGGGTCTGACGATGAAGGTCAGAAGAACGGCGTTAGGTAGAAGTCCAACAATGGAAATAAATCCATCTTCGGATATATGTCCAGCGAAAGTCCGATAACCGGTAGAAGTCTGGCGTCGGGTAGAAACTTTGCGAAGAGTGAAGGTCCGACGTCGGGTAGAAGTCTGACGTCTGTTGGTGGCCGAGGAGAATTCCGACATCACTTGGGCACAAGTTTCAGCGTGAGGAAGGAACTCTCTCGTTAATTGGGAAGAATTTCAGCATTCCGTGGAACTTGGGCAGAATTCTGGCGTCCCGTGGAAGTCGGGCAGAATTCCGGCGTGTTCGGGCAGCGGAAAGAACTCCGACGGTGGTTGAGGAGGAGATGATTCTCCTTTCCCCTTCTCTTCCTCTTCTCTTCCTCTTCCTCTCTCTCTTGCTGAGCCTCTCTTCTTGTGAGGAATGAGGGCTCTATTTATAGTTTTTCTAGAGTGACATGGCTTGTAAATAGATGTGAGATCAGGGGCAAATAGGGAGTGGTCGAATGGACGGCCGATATTGAACCCTTCGATCGTGCACCGTTCATTGGACATTTGAAGGCCTTAGTGATGTTAGAATTCTGCGACCATGGGCACGTTGGATTCGTCTCGTCGAGCCGCTCAATTCGAGTATAAGCTCGTTAAAATCGGAGACCGTTTGGTAACTCAATTTGTGGTATGAGCTTTTCAACAGCACTTCGGACACTTGATTTGGGCTGACTTGGACTCAGACTTAGTTGAATTTGGTGTCTTTGGGTTCGTATTTCCGAGACGCTCAGTTTGACTGTAAGCTTGCTGAAATCGGAGTTCGGGAGCTCCCGGATTTAATTTTTGAAGTTTCCAACTTGATTTTTGCCTCGAGATTCATGCACAATCAAGATAATTTCATGATAACGTATCAATGTTGAATTTCAAATCATGGATATAACCATGCAAAAAAACATTTACAAGGATGTAACATCTAATACATACAAAATCTTTAAATTAGAAGGATGTGCTATTTCTAAACATTTTATTAGCAAATCATCTACATATTGACAGATTATTCTGTGCGGCATCCGAACTTGTCCGAAGGCCAATCCTGGGATGCCACGTCATCCAATGCTTGCGCAATGGGTGACATGGTGCGCCAGGATTGGCCTTCGATCGCGTTCAGACGACGCACCTAATAATCTTTACAACATACATGCCCATGATGCGTCAAAAATTCTTTACAACATACCGCTACTATAATCTCCTAAATATTTATGACTTTAGCAATATTCATTTTCTGTTTTTTTGCATATATATATATATATTTATTTTCAAAAAAATTTGATGCTAGAAAATTGTTGTAAAAAATAGTAAGAAAATTATTCAAAATAAAATCTTAGACCTTTATAACATATTAGTAACACAATTACTCTTCAATTTAGCATGACTTGATACAGTATAATCCCATATCAATTTTAAAAAACTACATTATTCATTGATGACACTATCAAAAATATCACATTTTTATAGAAGTTCATAATGGCAGTTTATAAACCGCTGCTATAGAGAGGTATAGATGGCGGTTTTACCTGCTACTAAAATCTCTTAAATATTTATGACTTTGGTAATATTCATTTTCAGTTGTTTTGGCATTATATATATTTTAATATGTGTTTCCCTTTAGCAGCAGTGTTAACTCCTGCTAAAAGCACAGCTAAAGCCTTCCTGCAGCAGTATTTGTGAAACTGCTTCTAAAGTCTTTCTATCGAATGCATACAACGGATTTGCAACGGTTTCTAAAATGCTGTAAATAAATTAGTATGTGTTTAAACCGTTGTAGTAGGTCATAAAAAATGCTGCAAAAATCTGATTAATTAGTAGTGTGATATTATTCATTAAAATTTTAATTAAGAGAGAGATTTTGAGCAATTAATTTCTTGCAGCTGAAGAATATAAGAATGCTCGACTATTTCTTTACTCCATGCATGCTTTGATTGTCTCAACACTTAAAGACCTCAATGCGGGACAGTAATAAATAAAAGCAATTGTGAGGACTTTGGCTAATATAAGGATAGAGCTGGAGACATCTCACAGAGCTAAAACTGTAATAGAATCCTCAATAATCTTCTCCAATTAATAAGTATAATTATTAAGGGAGTCGATAATTTCAATTCATTAATCCTTCTGAAGAGAACTAATCGACAAATAATAATAATATTAATAATAAAAAAACTAGGTGAGGAAAGAATATAATTGTCTTGTCTGATTGAAACTCTTCAATGTTTATAAGTTTATCAATTTAAAATATTGTTCATTTGGGATAAAAAAATAAAAATTAAATAATATATCAATCTTTTCAATGCTAGCTATTCTAATTAAAAAATATTACTTAGCAGTTGATTTTGTCATTTGCATAATGTTCTTCTTATTCTTATTTACTCTTTTGGGTTGTTTTGTCTTTGTTTTTGTCCATTATTTATCCAAATAAAACTTGTCCTTGAAGTTGAGTTAGACTTCTGTAGACAGGCTTTGATCTATCGTTGTAAAAGTTGCTTCCTTTGATTAAATGAAAAGGACAAAAAATTGCCACATTAATCATTTGAAGGAGTCATGGTTTAATACTTTCATGGATGAGAAAAGAGAGATGATTTTGATGGGGTGGAAGAAAATGACAAATTTTAGGAAGTAGAAGTGTATTCTATACAATTCTAATTAGAGATAGACAAAAAAAATATGTATATTGTAATAATAACTTCAAGGCTTTAATAATGTTATAATTATATTAATCATATATAAGAATGATAAATATGTTATGTGCAATAGGAAAGTTTGCTATTAATTGGTTAAGTCATTTGTGTTCTCCTATGTTTGCCCTCAAGATGTTGTCTTGAGGAAGGACACAAATGGGTGCTATCAAATAAAATGAAAAAAATATTCAAGAAGTGTGGAATGTACAATAAGATTTTGTTTGGGACGGGTTTTTGATTGCTGAATTGAAAATTTTTGTACTTGAAAAATATTTTAGAGAGCAGCAAAAAAGTTGTGCCAAATGTAGCCTAAAGTTTGGTTTGGGATGGCTTTCTTATTGTTTTCTAATGCAGTTTTTTAGTTAAATTTTTTTAACTATAATTTTTTGTATTAGAAAGTTGTTTTATAAAGAAAAAAAAAAGTTGTCTCAATCAAAACCTTAAAAAATAAAATATAATATAAAAGTAAAAAAAAAACTATTTGAATTAGCATTGATAAAATGACATAAATTCATCGATATATCAAACCAAACATCAAATAGTAATTTTACATATGCTTCTTTTTTTTTTGTAGAAAAAATTACGGAGGAGCCTACACGTTAATATAAATAAAATGGTTATCCTTTCTTTTTTTTCGATAAAACTCACAGAAGGGCCTACGCATGCATATTAGGTGGTAAAGAATATAGAAAATGTGCTTATTAATTAAGGAAATTATATTTGACATTTTATCTTACATCCAGCTAGTTATATCCCCTTAAAATTGAATGCCTAACACATCATGCTTTTCTTCTTATGGATATATGAACATATTCTTGACAAATATGTAACATTTTGCAAGTGGAGATAGATTAAAGATTATATATATTTTTGTTGTCATATCCTAGCTTCTCATATTTCTTATTCATGAGAATTTAGGAGTTGACCTTTAGGTTACTACTTGCTCGAATAGAAATAGTCACAGCTAAGGTTTAATTTGTTACGACTTTCTAAAACAGTAAGAAAGGCGTCACAAACGAAGCTTAAATTTGATTGT